TCTATTAAACAGTAAAAATTTTCTATTTTCCCATTCAAGATAGCAATTTTTATGGGATTAAAAGAAGTATATGTATAGCCTTGGATATCTGCCCCATTATCTATAAAGAGTTGAAGCAATTCCCTGTCATCAATTATTCCGACTATTTCTCTAAAGGGTGAATTTTCGGGAATATTAGAAATATTTACATCTGCACCTGCTTCAACAAGCTCATAAATTAAATTTCTATATGTCAGATATATAGCAGTATTCGTTGGAGTATATTTCTTAATGTAATCGAAATATATAATTACTGCATTCAGTGGGGCTACCCCTGTATCATCTTTTATATTTACATTGGCTCCTGCAGAAACAAGATAACGTGCAATAGATATTTCATTATGTTTAATAGCGTAACGTAAGGGCGTTTTTTGTGCTCGGTTCTGGGAGTTTATATCGGCCCCTGATTCTACCAAACATTGTACAATATCTTGAATGCCTCTTTTTACAGCCAAATGTAATGGAGTATTTTCATAATTATCTTTTAGGTTAATATCTGCGCCTGCTTCAATAATGGCCTTAACCCTGTCTAAATTGTCACTTTCAATTGCCAAATGTATATCCATATAATATTTAAATTCAAATATTAGCACTTACAAATATATTAGTTTTGTGAAACACAGATATCTGGAACGTGTTCTGAAAAAATAGCAATATAGTCCAAATAAATAAGTAAATAATAATAGTGATATGAAAAAATGGGTCAAATATTATTAAATTATTTGAATGTTTTTTATAAACTTCTCTAATTTTTTAATCTATTTTATATCACGCCTGAACCCACTCTGAATTTTGTGGCCACCACGACTGCAACTAACATGCCACACTACATTCATGCAACAGGATAACAACATTACCTTGCAACATACATATATTTATACATTTATATAAAATATTTTATTTTATTTCAAAGTTTTTTGCTTTAATAAAGCAGAGCAATAAATTAGTTGTGAAATTCTATGAATATTTCATAATTTTTGGACACTACTTAACGTGAATAATCAATTTAACAAAGCATCATATTTCATTAAAATTTTACAGTATAAATTAACAGAAGAAACTTTTTAAAAGTTTTAAGGCAAAATTGCTATTTTACACATGCTTATACTGAATATATGTATGTGAATATTTATATGGAGTCTATATGGGGTCCAAACGGCTACTCTTATTGGAATGCTCTCATTAAATGACACTGCTCTATTGAATCTACCAAGAAATAAACCACACTGGAAACACTTGGTGAACTGGTTCACTAAGGCTACCAAGATCTAAACCTCAGGAGAGCCCGGGTAGTTGGCGATCTATGAATACGCTCCAGGAGTTACCTGGGTTACCCAGTTGTTACTACTATATGTTGGGGTCCAAGGGTAGTTGCGCTCCGGGAGTTATTGGGGTAAAATAGATTTAAAAAATTAGGTTGAGCATTTAATCGTTATGTTAAACTTTTGCTTATATTAATGTACATTTTGGTAAATTAAAAATACATTAATGAAATATATAGTTTCCCACTACTCTCTTTTTCAACTTTATTAAGGTGAAGATTTACTGAAACTTTAGAACTGAATTTTGTTCTAGACCTATTATTTAAACAGGCTAATATTCTAGTATTATTAAAATAATGCTTCATTGATAAACATAATTCGAGATACTACATCGCATTTCATGATCTCAGAATAAGCAAGTCATTCTGACACTTGACTATTTTCAAATTGTTAGGGTTAGAATTCCTTCAAGATCATTTTCTTTAAAATATATAAATATCTTATTTGTTTAATTTGTACAGGGTTTTAATGGCCAATATTTTAAACTGCGTCTATATGTACCTACTTGATATACACTAATTGACAAAACTTAAGGAAGTAAAAAGTATTTTATGTCGCGCGTCGTCTGTTTTTTTTTTTTTTTTTTAAAGAGACAGAGGCAATTTTGTTCACACTTCGTTATCTCGTGTGTCTTTAATAAAGTTCACTGTGTATCAAATATTTTTCAAGAGTTATCGTCTCAATCCCGATATACATACTAAAAGGTACAACTTTCTTGAGTTTTGTTCATGAGTGTGTGTATAATTTATTAAACGTTTTTATTAAAAATGGGTAATAAAAAGTGGATTGAACTTTGATATTATATGACCTGGCTTCTCCCGTGTTCTTCTCGGAAGATCTTGTTCCTGCGTATTAAAAATGATGGTTTTGCTCCGCTTGTAATATCTTCTTGAGTGTATGATTCCTGAAAGAATTTTGTTTTGTCCATCACAACATGATACAGCAATATTGCATAATAATTTACTAACTAAAATATAGGATATATTAATTTAGTACTTGTTTAATTTAAATTTTCCTTGGATGAAAATTGGCAAAATACTCTTCGAGACTTAATATCCTTTCAAGATTTCAGCCAGATTGTTTTATGTTGAGGAAACGTATAAGGAACAAATAAATAAATAGCCTATTAGCTATATATATATAAATATAGATTTCGTTAATTAAAACTTTCCTTGGATGAGAATGTGGCAAAATCCTCTTTGAGACCTAATTCAATATCCTGTTGAAATTTCAGCCAGATTGGTTTAATATTGAGTGAACATATAAAGAACGAATAATTGAATAAATAAACTTTCATCCATAGATAAATAAATATAGATTAGTAGTGTGTGTTTTAATATAAAATGGTTAGAGTGGACTTTGAACATTCCTTTTATATTAATATGAACTGACTTCGACCATGTTTAGCTAAATGTAAATGTTTAACTGAAAGAATCTTGTTTATGGCTATCAAAAGGATGGATTTTTTCTACTATCTTTATCTGGTTATTTGCCCAAATTTTAGTGCTGCATATAGAAGAGAAAATACTACAATTGAGTCTAGTAGTTTTAATGCTGTTATTGAGGTCGTCTTTGATTTAGTCTAATCTTCTCTAATGACCCAAGCCCTCTAATTCAATAACTTTCATCATATCAATAAGGTCTGTAGAGATATTATTTGATGCTGAAGATTAATTTGCCAAACTTCTAAGAGCTTTCACCAGTGATAAGCCAAGCCCTCTAATTCAATAACTTTCACCATTGCAGTAAGGTCTGTAGAGATATTATTTTATGACGAAGATTAATTTGCGAAACCTCTGAGAGATTTCACCAGTGATAAGCCAAGCCCTCTAATTCAATAACTTTCATCAAAGTAAATTATTATTTGATGATATTTATCATAAGAAACACATGAACAGAAACACACACAGAAACTACCTAAATATCACTAGATGACCTTTGAATGATGGTCATTGACAGATCAAATTGGTGAATATTTGTCACCATAGTGTCATTAAAATTCTAACGCGTCTTGATGGATGCGCTGCCAATAAAAATCAACTATGTAACCCAGGTAACACCTGGAAAGAGTATCCATAGATCGCCAAATACCCGGACTGTCCTGTGGTCTTGGAAGCCTTAGTGAACCAGTTTACCAAGTGTTTCCAGGCCGGTTTTAATTTTTAAATATCTCACTCCAAATGAAATCCAAGACTGTAAAACATGGTAGATCAGGAAATATATATTGAAATAATATATTCTATATTATTATTGAGAGTTTAAAATGTGTTATAAAACACATATCAAATATATAATCCTATATTAACCTTAATATGGTTTAAGACTGGTACGCTCTGAATTCGCTGAATGAGCTAATGTTCTAGACAGGGGGGGTCGGTGGAAGGGTGATTTAAACCATTGGTTTTCAACTGATACAACCCGGGATCAAATTCTAACTTTTAAAAATTGCTCCAATGGTCCCCGATTCTTACAAAAGTTCAACCCCACAAGCGAGTGTAAGTAATCAAACGGGGCTCTGGCATATTTTAAAGTGCAACTGTTTTTCACCTGTATAGACATGTGGTGCACTTGCAGTAAAAGCAGTCGCCAACTTCTACTCACCATGTTTATGATGGTCTGTACCATGTGTACTAGGGATAATAGAAAAATGTTCTAGACCAGATAGAGAGGTATATATTTTTTAAAGTTCTAATATAGTCCAAAATACGTCTTTATCACAATAGAGGTGCGCCAATACCTTTCTTTGCGTCGTTTCGTTTTACGTTTTTTTCGAAGTTGCGTCGCTGCTTAATTTTTACTGATTTTCACTGTGCGTCGTTAGATTTTCGAAGTTGCGTTGTTTTGGATTCGAGTCTATTTTTTTTTTTTTTGAATTTTTTTTTTCCTAAAATATGGCAACACCTTTGTTTTTGATTGCGACATGCCATAAAAATTTGGGGATTCCCTTTCTAACTAAAAATCAATGCAAATTTAATACAATTTTTATTTTCACTTTGTTTTGCTTATTTTAGAGTTCAGTTTAATTACGTTCTAATTTTGAAGGTACGGAAGAGACCGACATAAATGAATTGCTAACATCGCACAACCAAAAATGCTCTATTAAAGAACTATTGCAACTGGAATTGCATTTTGCTAATGAAGAAGACGACAGTGACCATTTAATATAAATCTCCAAAGAACAAAATTTAACCACCAAACAAATTTCTAAAGCGATGTGTTTGATTGACGAAGCTATGGAGATTAAAAAAAAACGATCCTGACAGCGGAAGGAGTTTAAAAGTGTCCCAGGCGGTAGCTACGAATATCAATTGCTACAAGGAAATTTATTTATTTATTTTTCCGTTCGCCATTACTCTTCATATTTTCACCCTTTCATACTTCATCCAAAAAAGTTAGAAATAGTAAATATTTCTCTTTGAAATAAATATTGATTTTTCACAGAAAAGAAACTTATGCGGTGAAACTTTAAGTGTTGTTTTATAATCATACGCCGCAGTCCTTTATAATGTATTATAAGTTACTTTAAGTATTATTTACGAACGGAAAAATACTCACAAAAAATTCTCACATATTACACAATGTTCAATTATCATGAACTAGGTTGCTCTTGCTGAGCGGTACCTATTTATGTGAATTTGAACCAGGGTAGCCTAGTGGACATGGCATCTGCCCGGTAAGCGGAACGTTGTGGGTTCGATTCCCGCCCCTGAACACTTTTATTTTTCCGTTCGCCATTACTCTTCATATTTTCACCCTTTCATACTTCATCCAAAAAAGTTATAAATAGTAAATATTTCTCTTTGAAATAAATATTGATTTTTCACAGAAAAGAAACTTATGCAGTGAAACTTTAAGTGTTGTTTTATAAATTTATCTTATGTTGAAAAAAAAAAAAGGTGTTCAACAAACAATGGACCAATTTTTTGTGAGAGAAAGTCGACCTACGACAACAGCCATTATAGACTCATCAGACAGTGATTAATTTTAATTAAATTTTCATAAATTAAATGAATATGTAGTTTATTTTGTTTAATTGAATAATTTTTTGTATATTATTTTTGTTTGAAAAAATTTTTCTTTGATCAATTTTATTTTTAAAAGGTAGTATTTTCGTAAGCCTGGAACCTATCTTCGATCATTAAATGGTTTTCTATAGAAAATTTATTTTCACTTTGCGTCGTTTCAATTTGCGCCGTGTTTTTTTTTTTTTTTTTTTTTTTTGGAACTTCCCCCATAACTTCCCCCCAAAAACACTTTAGCTATGCAACTAGGTATTTTACAGAGATATCTTACATCTTTATATATTATTATTATTGTTATTTGGCGAACAAAAATATATTTTGGCTTTTTAAAATATTGAAGGTGAGGGCTTTTAATGGTATAACAATTTATATTCTAGGAAGCAGAATATGGAGAGAAAATTTCGGGGATGTGTTTGGAATTATAAAATAGTGTCCTGGATATTGTCATATTGAGTAGGGAAGTCGAGTTTTCCTATTAATTCTATTTAGTTTTAATTATATGGATGCATCTAAGAATATTTATTGTTGTTAGCTATTTGATGTTGTGGTAATGGGCTATTGCATGATTGAGACCGAATGTATGAGAATGTATGAAGAAAATCTTATATATGTCATATTTAATCATGTCAATTCTTGTCAATTAATAGTTAATGTTTTGAGGTCACATTTTGGAAGGATGTACTTGTGTTAGTTTTATTGTATAAATATTTGCTTTATAATAAAAATAGATAAAACACATCTTTCCTATTTATTTAAAAAACTTATATTTTATATTTATTTTATAATTTACATAGTGTGTGTTATCTCGATGATGAATGTCAATTTTGCATATATACCTTATATAAAACTTAATTGCAACATGTAATAACCTGGGAACTTTCGTATGCTCCAGGAGTCTGGGTTAGGTGCAAATGAACACACATCATATCGCATATACAACCATATTAACACCACCGTTCTTACACAGGACAAACAGCATGTCATGTAAACCTCTTCGCAATAATTTTTTAACAATGAATTATTAAGATCTTCTATACGTATATTTGCATAAAGACATCTCCAACGCACTTAATAAAAGCATTAAAAATAATACATTTATTTGATTTTTTCGCACAGACCACACGCAATTTCATATCAATATACAGGGTGATCCAAAAGTCCCGCACAACTTTAAAAATTAATAACTCCGCGAATATTTGCGCTAGAGCAATGCGGTAAACACCATTGTGTTCAGGATGCAATGGGATTTTTTATGGCAAATATTGAAAATTTCGAAATTGATTTTAGTTACAATTTCATTCCCTAGATGGCGCTGTACCAGAATCAGAAATTCAGCGGCCAAATTGTTTGATTAATTGAAAAATATAACTGATCGACACGTATTTTTCCTTTTTGTATACCAGGAAAGAATCCTAATAATATCAAATCGTTAATTAATAAAGCACCATTTCGCCAAAAGTTAGAAGAAATGGTTAACGATTTTTAAATACAATCTGAGATATGCAAAATAGGTATATGCAAATTAAAACATGCAGCAAAAATATTTATATTTTTGACAGAGTTTTGTCAAATATATTGAATGTTTGAAAAACATAGCTGAATTCAATACACGATTTTTTGAAATGTTAATATAGTACCAAAAATTATTATGGTACTACTAATAGGATTTTTTGCTATAAGGAATGTGTAATTTCTTGAATAATTGGCGACACTCGACTATTTAACTGGAAATTTGTCATGATCCAACAAATGAAATATAGATGGGAGTGACAAAATACATTTGTCGTACTTTATTCCAAATATCCTATGGGCTTGAAAAATGTTATCATTGTTTATTATACTGTACACGATTTTTTAAAATGTATCCCCTCAAATAAATATAATTTTTAAATCAACCTTTTGCGTTGAAAAACGTGGTAGTAAAATCATTTTGTATTATTTTTTTTGCCCAAAATTTCTAAAGGTGGGGGGTTACAGAGAATATTCCTTATGCTATTTCTTTCAATGAGCGAAAAGCGATAAATTAAACATAAGGGGTAAAATTTTGTGTACAGTGTTATTCGAGAAGTTATAACACTTTGGTCTGCACGACATAATATAAGATGTGAGCAAATGACAAACAAACAAAAATTACTTTTCACAAATAAAAAAGAGAAAAGATATGAGGACAGAATTTATTTACCCATAACCCAACACAAAGAGCTGCAAAACATTGGTAGATAATATAATACATGGAAGCTTTTATAACACATGAGGTAACTGCCTTCTCTCTTGTATTAGGTCAGAATCCTTTTTCAATGTGGCGACCTTCATTCTCAAACACCGCCTGCAGACGATAGATGACAGAATAAACAGCATTAAATAAAATATCTGATGAAATTGATGAAACGTGCCGTCTGATAGAAGCCTTCAACATGACCAATGTGGTAGGCCGACATCGATAAACACGCGACTTAATGTACCCCCATATCCAAAAATCGCAAGGCGTCAAGTCTGGTGATCTTGAAGGCCACTGGTGTATAAAGTGGCGACTTATCACACGATCTTCACCGAACGTATCCTTCAGCAATTGTTTGGCACCGCGGGAGATATGAGGAGGTCCTCCATCTTGCATGAATGTTATTTCGCTCAGTGCTTGTCTGTCCTGCAATATGGGGATAACCTTTTCTCTCAAAAGTTGAACATAACGTTCACCAGTTACAGAAACGGTTTTAAATGTTCTTCCATTTATTTCTTCAAAGAAAAATGGCCCAATAATAAAAGAAGAAGTGAACCTACACCAAACTATAACTCTGGGCTGATGAAGTGGCATTACTGTAAAAATCCTAGGGTTTTCTGATGCCCAAATGCGGCTGTTTTGAGTGTTAACTTCTCCGTTCAGAGAAAATTGAGCTTCATCTGTCCACAGAACATTCAACAGCCAGTTTTCATCAATATCAATTTGCCGGAAAACCCATGAATCGAATTCTTGACGCTTCTCAAAATCGCCGACTTTTAGCTCGTGAAGTCTTTGAATTTTTTTACGGGTATTTTTTAAGACAAATTCTTAGTGCTCTCCAAACTGTTCCATACCAAATCCCCGTTTGTCGAGCACTTACTTCTCCATACGTGGATAACGTTTCAATAGCTTCAACATTCTGCGAAACCGTAGCAACCCCTGACTTGCATGTCGATGGTCTTCCACTCCGAGATTTTGCTTCCAGAGATCCAGTCTTCTCCAAAGTTTTTATCATTCGCCTTAGAGAGTAGCAACTCATGGGTCCTTTACCGCTTCGAATACCTTTAAAGGTACGAAATGCTTGTAAAGCTTTAGTGGCAGATTCTGAATTGCAATAAAAAGATTTCACAAGAATGATTTATGCTGTAGTGATGGTAAAAAAATTGTTGTGCATGTAAATAGATGAAGATTATTTGCATTTTTCAAAACCTCATTATGTAAAAATATATGTGTATATAAATTGGATATTTGTTGTTGGCCGAACCAATAGCCATACACACCTCATCTCGTTAACGGAATAATGTTCTTTGTCTGGTCTGCCTTTTTTTACTCTCTTTGGAGTAGATTTGCTTTTTGATGGTTTTTATTTATGGAGCTGAACCAGTATGATGGCGGTGGAGGAGGAAGTCAGCAGGCCAACAAGCGGCCGCGTTCTGAGGACGAAGACCTCCTCCCGTCTTCCCATCACCAATTTAAATTCAACAGCACGGCGAACTTGTTCAACTTTGAGTGCCAAACCTTCGAAGCGATCATTGCCGACACCAGCCTGGACTCCCCCGAAAAAATACAGATGGCCACCAAAGGACTGATACTGACTTTCGTCCAAGAGGCAGAACTTCTTCTTAAGGACGCCTTCAAGGGAGCCAGTCTAGGAAGACCCAATCCCACAGCCAACGTCCCGATTCCCTCCACCTCTTTCGCCTCGGTTGTGGCAGAGAAAGACAAGCCGGTAAAGCCTGCACCTCCGAAACCCAAAGCGAAATCCACATTTGTGAATCTGGCTCCTTCCTTCGAATCGTATGTCGTCGTCAGGTCGGCTAACCCCAAAGCAACCCAAGGGAATTTTTGAGGGAAATTCAAAAGATTCATCCTTCCCTAGCGTCATCAAAACACGTGGTGGCGTCCATCAACACCAGCGGCGAGGTGGTTTTCCACCCCAAAACAACCCAAATGGCAAAGTAGCTGGCCACTGGGCTGACCTCCCTGCCAACGGGCCTAAGCTGCCCCGAGTGCCCGGTTATCCTACCAAGATACTGCCTCTTCAGAGTGGACGGGGAGGTGCGGGACGATGAGATATGCGAGAGCTTCCACTCCAACCACTCCGTGCAGTCACTCCTGGAAAAGCGTGAAATCAGGGTAGTCCATCGATCGAATAATGCGGCACACAGCACTAGTACAGTGTTCATCGAAGTGGACAACCAAGTCGCCGAAATCCTCGGTCAACATGGACGTATTCCTGTGTCGGGTCTAGTGCACAGGTATGAGCGCAGTCATACTTTAAAGCAATGCTTCCGTTGCTGTGGCTTCGGCCACCGCGCTTCTGCCTGTCCAGCTGCCCATCCAATCTGCTATCGCTGCGGCTCTGCAGAGCATGAGGGCATCCGATGCTCGGTCGAGCCAAGCCAAAGCCGCTGCTGCCGCTGCAGAAAAAAAAAATCTGGAGCTCCCACAACCACTTTGCCACATTATCTAC